TAAAGCCACCACCTCCATTGCTTGCTCAGCTGTTGGATCTTAATGGAGGTGCAATGTCAAAACATTTTAGAGACAACATTAGACCCTACAATGGTTCTTTGTGTTTCACATCTTTTGGAGCCAAACTGGATCCACGCTCTTTGACAACAAGAGGACCTTATTCGATGGTTATTTGTGGTGAGAATTACCATAGGATTGGATCCTTACTTCCAGTTGATGGAAATAGGCCCAAGTTTGCTCAGCTATATATATTTGAACCTGAAAATGAGGTTAACAATAGACTTGCAAACTTCGCATCTCGAGAGGAAGTCATGCTGCCTGAGTTACTTGCAAGTTTGCTTCGAATGCTTGATGAAAACAACGAGTTGGTCAGAACATTTAGGCGCATTCGACAAGATCTCCAGCTTTCTTCCACACCAAATCTCCGACTCAGAATCTTTGGGATCAAAAGTAGGAATCGACAATATGACTTGCCAACTAGCTCTGATATTGCAGCCTTAATACCTGGTGATTTTGTTGCAGATAGGGAGGATAGAGATATCATTGTAGACCATCGAGGAGAAGGGCTGAAACGTATAACAAGCCTCAACCCAAAATTCGAGGCTCTTCACTTCCCATTGCTATTCCCGTACGGAGAAGATGGGTTTCATCCTCAAATATCTTATAATGCCTCCTTTTGTCCAGCATCAATGCGCAGAAAATTTGTTACTCAAAAAGAGTATTATGCTTTTAGACTTCAGTATCGATTGAATGAGGGCATACACTGGTTCAAAGTGGCAAGGCATTGCAACATTACTGTGTTGATACATTTTCAACAATTGAACTCAATCGACTGGCATTTCTTAGAACTCATCAAAAAGATTTAAGAGCAGAAGTTTATCAGGGGTTGCAGGATGCATTTGCAAAGGGAGACATGGATGGAGAAAAACTTGGAAGAATTATAATGCCATCATCTTATACAGGAGGACCAAGATATATGCAGCAACTATATCATGATGCAATGGCAACCTGTCAACATTATGGTAACCCAGATTTATTTGTTACATTTACTTGCAATGCTCTTTGGGAAGAAATTGTTGACGCTTTTGCAGATATGGTTGGACCAAACAGCGAGTTGAAGCCTATGGTGGTCTGCCGTGTGTTTCACATGAAGCTTACCATATTAATTGACCAGTTTTAAAAGAGAATCATATTTCGGAAAAACGATAGCCAGTGACTTACCTGTAGATGACCTTTCATTTTATAAAATTTCTTTTATTATTTGAATGAGCTATCAAGTTCAAATGATGGACTGTTTTTTCGCTGTAATCTACACAGTTGAGTTTCAGAAGAGGGGCCTCCCACATGTCCATATGCTTATATGGTTAGCCAAAGAGGATAAGCTAAAGTCAACATCTGACATTGATGAGATGATTTCTGCAGAGATACCAGACCCCAATCTAGATCCAGAAGGGTATGCTGCCGTGGTTAAGTTCATGATTCATGGACCTTGTGGTGTTAACAACCCCACTTCACCATGTATGAAAGATGGTAAATGTTCGAAGTATTTTCCAAAAGAATTCTGTTCAGAAACTTCATTCGACAAGTTTGGCAATGTCGTGTACAGAAGAAGAAATTCAGGCATACAGGTTCAAAAAGGAAAGGCAATGCTGGATAATAGATATGTCGTTCCATACAATCGGAACTTATTGGTTAGAGCTCAAGCCCATATTAATGTGGAGATATGTCACAAGGGAGGGTTAGTGAAGTACTTATTTAAGTACATTACTAAAGGACCAGATAGATCTCTTATTGTTGCAGAAGACTCGACAAGCTCAGTTCAGGTACCATCAAATATAACAAAAAAAAAACAAAGATGAGATACAAGAGTTCATTGATTGCAGGTCTCTGTCCTCATCGAAGCTATATGGAGAATCAACGAGTATTCTATACACCACAGAGAGCCTAATGTGGTTCGACTTGGTGTACACATGGATAGACAACAGAATGTTTCATACAAGAGAAGGTCAAATATCCAAAATGTTTTGCAAAATCCAAGGGCAGGTAAAACTCATCTTACATCATGGTTTGAACTTAACAGACATGATTGCAATGCAAGAAAGCTTACATATGCTCAAATACCAAATTCCTTTACATGGAATGAAGAATATAGTGAATGGACTCCAAGGAAAAGAGGTTTCGCAATAGGAAGGATAGCTTATGTTCCTCCAGGAAGTGATGATATATTCTTTCTCAGGCTGCTATTGACCAAAGTAAGAGGAGCAACAAACTTCCTCAATTTAAGAACAATACAAGGGGAGGTTTGTAATAGTTACGAAAGAGCATGTCAAAAGTTGGGACTTCTGTCGGACTCTTCGGAATGGATTCAGGTATTACAAGAAATTGCAGCATCAAGTATGCCACACATAATACGGACTACATTTGTTTCAATGCTGATGTTCTGCGAAATACCTGATCCTAATGCTCTATTTGAATCTTCATGGAGCTTAATGAGTGAAGATCATGTTCATACTCTTCGTAAACAGCTGCACTCAAAAACTTTCCATCCTTCAGATGAGAGACTTAAGAATTGGGTGTTACATCAGCTGGAAACTTTACTGAGGACTTATGGTTCTTCACTTCAGCAATTACATCTCCCAAGACCGACAGATTCAGAACCTGACGATGGATCAAATCCCCTGATTAATTAGCATCTTAACTTTATGATGATCAACAAAGGTTACTGGCAAATACTATGGTTAGCAAACTGAACACAAAACAGCTAGAGGCTTTCACACTCATTATTCTCTCTATCAACAACAACCTTGGCACTTCATTTTTCCTATATGGCCATGGAGGAACAGGCAAGACTTTTCTCTACAATGCAATCATTGCAAAATTAAAAAGTATTTCCAGAATTGCTATAGTTGTTGCCTCATCTGGAATAGCAGCCACACTACTACCAAATGGCACAACTGCTCATTCAAGGTTCAAAATTCCCCTTCATATAGACCATGCATCTACATGTTCCATAAAGAAAGGTACTCATTTAGCTGAGCTAATACGTGCAGCTTCATTGATTATTTGGGACGAAGCACCGATGACACATCGAAATGCATTTGAGGCTATAAGCAGGACGTTTTGTGATTTGATGGACATACCACTATCGGGTCCAAAACACAAGTTGTTTGGAGGAAAAACAGTAGTCTTTGGTGGTGATTTTAGACAGACTCTGCCAGTAATTTCAGATTCAGGAAGGGAACAAACAGTTGATGGATTCATCACGAGGTCATCATTGTGGCCCTTTTTTAAGGTGCTCAAACTGTCAAGGAACATGAGGCTTAATGATTCACAAGATAATAGAAACCTGGTCGGCTGTGGAATGAACTTTGGTGAGTGGATTCTAGCGCTGGGAGATGGAAGGCTTCCAACAAAATCCTTTATGGCGAACACACCTTCAGATTGGATTGAGATACCACAAATACTCTTGATATATGCTGGAAAAAATCCAATCGAGTCAATCACAAATGACATATATGACGCATTTGAGGAACAACACATGAGCACAGATTACCTAAGTGGAAGGGCAATCGTTACTCCTACTAATGCAGTTGTGACTGAAGTGAATGACTTCATGTTGCAAAAAATTCCTGGACATTGCCGTTGCTACTACAGTTCAGACTCTATGCAACTTGATACAGAGGTACCTCAGCTATTTGCTGAAACTTACCCAACAGAGTTTTTGAATGCTCTTCAGTTCAATGGTGTTCTAGATCATGAAATAAGACTTAAGGTTCACACTCCAATCATGTTGCTGAGAAATTTGAGCCCACCAAACGGCCTATGCAACGGTACGAGGATATTGATTACGAAATTGGGGGGAAATATCATTGTTGGAAACATCATGGGAGGATCTTTTGACACAAAAGAGGTTGTTATACCACGAATAATACTCAACGTAGAAGACAAACGCTGGCCCTTTATACTGAAGAGGAGGCAATTCCCAGTACGTTTATGTTATGGGATGACTATAAATAAGAGCCAAGGTCAAACTCTGGACAAGGTTGGAGTCTATTTGCCTAAACCAGTATTCAGTCATGGACAGCTTTATGTGGCAGCATCAAGAGTAAGATCTGCAGGTGGTTTGAGATTCTTGATTGAAAATGAAGATGACATTCCAGCCAATTACACGAGAAACATTGTATATTCAGAAGCCTTCACAGATATTGCACCTGGTTAATTTTGTAAGCATCGAAGAAGCTCGAAGTGATTATTATGAACTCTCCCAACTTTTTGAATTTTACGCCTGGAAAAATTTATTCTTCCAGTTCTTGCGTTGTTCTTAACAAGAGACACGTTTTGTGTTTTTTATTTCGAAACTCAAAGCTAGAAAGCAGTCATGAGTTTTGATCAAGTAACATCGGTTCGGACTAACCAGAGAGAACTTAGAAAGAAAATCGATGAGCCCAACTGATACAACTTGACAGAACAATGATCGCAGGAGCGTATTGTAGCCTTTTCTGTAAAAAGGCCCGATTCAACAGTTATAACCCATTGCATATCATACAGAGCCCAAACACGATATCAAGGCCCAAACAATCGATCCAAAAAGGACTTACCCTAAGTTAACCTTGGCTTACATAAACTACCGATTGTTTTTTATGCCTTCTAGAATCGGCCGCGCAGTCAAGATACAAAAAAAAAGGGAAACCAGGGTCTCGAAGAACTGGAAGCTTTCTTCTACCCAACAGATTTACAGTTGTATAGTACAACTGATACGTGAGATTCCGTGGACCCACACAAAATGGACCCGAACGAACTGAAAGGTAAATACATTGAATCTGGAAAGAAATCCAACAAACGCATCTCGATTCCTATGCGAGTTTTTTCCATTTATTATTTATCGATTCGTCTTTAATCGTGTTGCAGAGTCCATTGATTCAAGCTTGTGCTTTCGGGGACTGCGTTTGGGAACAAACAATCGAACCGTTATAGCTAGACATGTCGTTACATGGACTGAGTTCCGAGAAGTGCCTTTATCCACATGGAAGAAAAGGACACATCACATGCTCTGGCTTGACAAAAAGGTTTGACTCCAGATACCCCAACCATATTCATAAATATTCGTCAGAGCATTTGATTCAGTGTTAAGACAAAAGAACTTGCCAATATACAAACCCTACACATCAATTAACCTACTGGCGAATGCTAAAAGATCAAAAACTCTTGACAACATATCTATCTACCATTGACTTTACAGAACAAGTTGATCGAAGCTCAGGTTGAAGAAGAAGATGCAGATGAGGTTTTTAAGAAAATCAAGGTTGGCTGCCTGCATGAACTACAAGATATTGTAGCAGATCCAGCAAGGTCAGTGCAACGCGTTGTCCATCGAGAGTTCCGCCTGCTTCTCACTTCAGATCAAATTAGAAGGCATATTGAAGAAGGAAATGGACCCCAGCAATTCCCAACAGGATCATACACAGCAGCCGATTTTTCCATTGTGCCTCAAACATCAGAAGACTTTGTTTGCCATTCAGGTAAATATATGTCTCTCTATCCATGATTAAGAACACCATTAAACAAAGCATAACAAACATTAAATCTGTAGATGTTACAGGATGTGTTAGAAGACTAACTCATCCAGAAACAATTAAAGGAAGGATTCAGAAATTCGACCTGGTCATACAAGATGTCTGGTATGCTCTTAGGATTGCACACTTTTTTTTACTTTGTAAAAATGTATAGTTAACACATTGCTTTGCAATCAGTGGGGCAAAGGCTTATGTTGAATACAGTGGGCATGACATTGATGATTTTCAAAAGCATGCTCCAGCAATTGAGGCAAAGTTACCATTGATTGTGACAATCAAATCAGTTAGTAGAGTAACTCCTAGACATAACAGTAAGTACCAGCATGAATTTCGATCCACAATTGCAAGTAAGCTCATCATCCATTCTTATCAGGACTGCTGCAAGGATATCATGAACATGTGAGTTGCTGTATATGGGTTTACCCAACTGATTGGTTCAACTACTATCGAGTTAGTGATACTTACACATTTCTTTTCAACATGTAGCTTTCTTGCATGTCGCAAACCAGTTTACTTCATCGATGATGCTACTTGCAAAAAAACTGGACACCTGCTGAGCAATCAACTGCAAAAGAAATCGTTGAGAGAGATAAAAGAAAGGATGGAGGACCTGTCAGATTTCACAGAGGTAAACGAACAAACACCAGCATTGACATCAGCTGTATATTTCCATCTGTTTACCTGTATAATACATTTGACAGTTTTTGCAACAGGTTACTTACATGACATTGATTAACATTCCAAGGTTTATATACAGAAAAAGCATCTGCAAAATTCGTGGAGAGAACACAGGGTAAGCTTTTGACCATTCTCCCACGTTTACACATGGCATAATAATACTCTTTGTATAAACCTAACAAAAAGATCTTTATTGCAAGACTCACATACAAACTGGAAGGGAAATGTCGCCAAGGAGGATCTGAAATAGATGTGGTGTTTAAGCATGAAGCAGCTCTGTCGCTCATTCGTAAGTCACCGTCAGATTATCAGTTTCTGAAGAAGGACCAAATCATCGAATTGATCGCAAAGAACTGTAACAAAAAATTTGCTGCGGAATTGACCGTCGCATGGAAAAAAGTGGGGGACAGTGATTCAGACATGCAACCAAAAGCGACAGTGCTCACCCTGTGGGATCGATCAGCATTCGAGAAATGATGTTGTCCTTCGAGCTTACCATTTTGATATCGTGCAAACCACAAAGGCACGAAACTTCTGAAAACATTTTGTCCTGCTGTTTTTCGAATCTTCAGTCTCCGCCATGGAACTTTTATTAATTTAGTAGATACATCGTGGAAAACTTGGCCACACTCCTAACAACATTCATGTTTATTCTGAAACCCAGTCAATCTTTTGCATAATGACCGCAGTTTTTATGTTTATGACAACATTTATGTCTATTTAGAACATAACGATTATGGTTATGGATTATATTAAATCCCATTTAAATTATGACAGAAATAGTATCCCGCAGCGGAGCGCGGGCTGAATCCTAGTATATATATATATAGTGAGAAATAAGAGAATTCGGTCCATCATTTTCTTGTAGGTCGGAAGCAGCGCTGGTGGAGAGCATTGCCGGAACCATACAACGACATCCACATCGAGCCGCAGATAAGACCGATTCAACGGGGTGGAGCAAGGAGATGCGTCACCGAATGAGGGAAATTACAAATTAGTCCCTCTCCAATGTTCACCAATAATACATTCAAATTCAATCATCATGAAAGAAAACTTGTTTCTTACTACTTAAATAACAAAATGCGGGACCAAAGTGAAAGTAGATTAGAGTTGAGTGACTCGTGATTCGGGAACCCCAGATTCAGTTCAGAATTTAGTTTACAACGACAATTTGTGAATATATACCCTCACCCCGGCATCCAAAACAAACTCATTTCACCCCAAAAGTTAAAGTAACGAATTATTATATATTTATTATTTGTTGGATTTTGGGTGGATTATTTTCTTATACTAATTCTGTGTCATTAATTAGCTGATAAGTGACTGATAACTAAGTAACCAACCAATGAACGATTCATCTGACCAGTCTCACTACAGCTTTGAGGTCGGAGTTTGATGTTCGGAAGCAGAAAGCTCGTCGTACATGTCAGTTATGGCTTTCCCAAAATATTCCTTCGCCTGCGGCCTCTTAATCTGCCCAACGAAGACAAAGAAAAGAACTCAGCAACGAGAAAGCCACGAACAGGAAGACTATCACCTGCAACTCTGTAATACCTTGAAGGTTGGAGTTAGTAGCCCATTCTCCAGGGTAAACGGCTCAGGAACAAGAGTTACAGCCTTGGCAAACTCGAAACCTCTCAACTGCAGGATTTCGCAGCGTCAGAAACAATTGATTACGAGCTCGAACTTGCAAGGACAAAATGATTTTGAGATTGGAAAGCATGAAATATTCACCTGTGCTTCTCTTCCTGTTGAATCCATGTCAGCAAGGACTGCAGCTCTAGCTCTTAGATCATTGCATAGTCGGCCTAAATCGTCGGCCTGCATTGTGAAAACAAGGATCGGATGATCGTTGGCTAGAGAGAGAGAGAGAGAGAACAGAACGAGATAGTTCAGAAAGCGAACCTTGATCCCTTGGGAAGTTGCCCATTCTGTCAACACATCTGGATCCACTGATACTATGGCGACTAAGGATGAGTTGAAGCTATCACCTGTCCATGAACAAAGCAAAATCAGCAGTAACAGAAGATGTTGAACACAGAGAAGCTTGATGTTACATATGATGCTATGTCTCAGCTGTCTTTTTACCGTAGATGAAACACTGGCTAACGAATCTGCTTTTGGTGTAAACGTTCTCGATCTTCTCTGGAGCTATGTATTCGCCCTGTGCGAGCTTGAAGATGTTCTTTTTCCTGAACCGAAACAAAATAGACGATGGAGTTACAGAGATATGCTAAACAAACGAAAATGGCTTCCTGACAGTGGAGGAATGTTAAATAACCAACCTATCAACAATCTTGAGGCGGCCACCGTCTAGCCATAATCCAATATCTCCTGTATGTAACCATCCATCCTCGTCTATTACTTCTCCTCTGTGAAATATAGGAGACGTTAGATAGCTGAGGCATAGGATGGGAATGATTTTACTGAAATGATGTGAAGATATATATGAAGGTATAGTACGTCTGGGTTTGATCTTTGTAGTAGCCCTGGAAGATGGTTGGACCCCTAACACAGATTTCGCCACGAGGAAAAGGCTGGTCTTCGGAGGTGTAATTCATTTCAGGAACATCCACCAGTTTTACTTCTAAAATATGAGAAACAACATGGACAAGAGAATCGTAATTAACAGGGAAAACCAGAAGTCAGAAGCCAACAAATTGTGTCATCACCTAATAACTTCAAAATACCTCACTTATTTCAATAATTTTTTCAAATTCCATTTCTCTAATAGGCTTTTTATTGATTGAACCAATCGGCTCCATCAGTGAGTTTCAGATATCCAGGACACACTCTCGGAATGGGAATTTGTAAATAAACAATATGATCCAAAATGAGACGAGCAATTATGCACTTCATAGACACCCACAAGCAGAAATAGAGACAAATTTGATTCCAATACGAAAGCTTACTAACCACAAGCAGGATTTGGAGATCCAACGTGACCAGATAGATTGTCACCCACATCCATAATGCTTATGATGCAAGACGTCTCAGTCAATCCATATCCCTCAAGCACTTGACATCCAAAGCACCTGTAAACCAGAGGACATGTAATAAACTGTAGTGTGAGCAGAAGCACTGATTCCCATATAAACAGAGTGATAGAAAGTGTTCTTCGGAACAAAGACTTACACCCTCAAGAAGTCCATAACATCAGGAGACAAAGGTGACGCCCCTGATCCCATAAGCCGAACCCGCCCTCCTAGCTTAGCTTTTATTTTATTGAATACCAATCTGTCCCACATTGGCGATGGAGTTCGGCCTGAAGTAATCATCTTACAGGATAACATATTAACCAATAACCACAGCTCCAAAACTTGTAGACTTTCCAAGCAGCAAGAAAATAAAAATAAAAATTGGCTATTTTACGACAACCCCTCAAAGTCATGAACCACTCAGGAATAGCCAATACACATACCGCTCATTATTGCTTGCTTCTTTGAGTTGAAGGCAGCATTAAACAATTTCTCCTTTAACGCTCCAGAAGTCTTCACGGAAGCTGTGATCCTGTGACAATCAATGTGATAAAAAAAATGCCACGAAAAACTCCAATCAAATGAACTGAAGCCTTTCTCATAATCTTACCCATCATATATCCGATTATACAACCGAGGGACACTGCAGAATATTGTCGGTCTTAAAGCTGCCAAATCATCCATCAATTTCAAACTGTCCTGAATTGGCAGGGAAGCAGTAACAAATCAGTAGATTTATTGACAGCTCAAATAAACTTGAACTGCTATGACCTGTTTTACTGGTCTATGTTCCTTTAGTCCTCGTGTACTTGATGTAACCAGTAAAACACTATTTTCTCGAGACATCTAGGTTTGGGAATTCAAGTCTGTCTATACTCAAAAGGCTAGTGAACTGGATCTGCATCGTGAGGTTGACACTACTTCAAGGATACGGTGGTTGGGACAGGATTCTGAAAAACTAATCCCATGTCCAGTCCTCTACTGTAGCACACATATTGAATACAAAATACTGGTAAGTATAACAGAGTGAATTGAATAACTAACCCCCTGATAGAAGCCAACAGCAACACCATAGTACACGGCTGATATTTGGTTCGTCCGTTCGTAGATGTGTGCCAAAGGAAGGTAAGAAATGTAGCTGTGAATACATTTGCATTATGTATTAGCAGGGGAGACAGCAAAGCTCTCACGGAGAACATATAAACATGAAGCAACTGAAGTGAAATCAGCAACTCACATATCTGAACAATTGAATTTGATAGACAAACTGGAACCAGCAACACTTGCGATCAAGTTTCCATGTGTCAAGACAACTCCCTTTAGCAAGAAGTAAAGTTAACTTGGTAAGTATAGAAGTGAGATATAAAAGAGATGATCAAAAAAATATGGGGGAAAGAAGGAAATGGTGGCTTGAGGAAAACTGGTATAATAAGAACATGTAAAATTACCTTCGGCGTCCCAGTTGTACCGCTGGTGTAACATATGGTTGCAACATCTTCAGGTTTAGGAGGAATGAAAGGTTGTAGACTGCTGCGGCCCTAGAACCACAAAATGCATGGTGACCAGGCGATGTGGCTGCTCTTTCTATCATAATTTAAGCAGGAAAAAGTTTCCAAGCCTTCCAGTTAAAAAAATAATACACATCTTTTGTTAATGCATCATCTCATGGAAACTCCATTTTACCAAATATGCCAACTACGAAAAAATAAGCATCATCTCACTATCGATGCTATTATATAAAGAAAGGTGACAGGAAAACAGAGAGAGACAGGCAAGCCTATCAGTCTCTCAGTCCTCGGCAAATATAGAAAAATCATTAGAAGAAAGATTACCTCACCAATCAATTTCAGATAAGATATGAGCTTGACTCCAGAAGAAGGCAGCAATGGTAAGTTCTCATCTACACCCCCAACTACCTATCGTAAAGAAAAATACCAATAGTGACAAGGGATAAACAAAATGGGCACAGCTGATATCTGAACACATTGCTTTGAAGATATCCCAGAAATACGCACCACTATGAGCCTCACAGACGGAATCTCAGAGACAAATGTCAACAGCTGCAAAAATCAGGACTCAGGAGAGGCCATAGACAGTTAAACAATACAGTACAAACATTACTTACTGAAAGCTTAAAAAGAAGGCAAAAAATAGCTCACAGTGTTCAAGGTCTCAGGGGTACAAAAGATGGCTTGTACATCAGCATGATTCACCACAAACTTAACTGCATCTGGACCTGCATGCAGAATTTGCCGCTGTAATTACAGGGAAGACCGAATGTAGCAAGTTGTGTTCATTGTCCGAGGTCACTCACATACCAAGAGTATCATATAAGGGAACCGAGATGTATGAATATGCTGCACAAGCATGATCCACGATCAGCCATTCTGGTCTGTTTATGAAATAAGCTCCAACACAAGCTCCCTGATCCACATTGATGAGTCAATATCTAACGTTTCACCGATACACAAACTTGAATTAAGTTCTCACTCAACCAGAGCTAAAAGTAAAACACACAAAGCAAAGAATAAGAACAGAGAGTATGACAGAGTCCAGAATCCAGCTCATAACTTACCTTATCCAAGCCATGATAACGAAGGCCAGAACCTATCGCTTCCCTAGCAGTAGCAGCTTCTCCATATGTCATCCACATGTAGCTATCATTTCAAGGAACAAATCATACCATGCCTCTCATGAGAATGATTTCCAAATACAAATTAGTCAAAGGAAAATTCTAATGGCAACATAGACAAACTTATTGTACGAAAGACCTACTCTCCAATTTTTCCATCTGGCCGAATTCGTGTCCCCAAGTACTTGTAATCTCGATAACTCTCAACAGCATGCCTGAAGCATTACACAAAGAAATTACCATTCACAGCTCAACAGTTCAAATCCTCTACCTCATAGCAATTCGTCTCCTAAGCCAGGAACTTATAAATAAGAAGTGACTCACTGAAAGTTATCGTGCAATGTCCCAATCTCTGGATGATCAGGAAACCTGCTCAGAAGCTTCAATGGAGACCGCACAGATCTATCATACAAAGAATCGCACAATTCAGAGCAAACAATGTAATAGCTACAAAATTTCGCACACGAGTAGTAAGCTTTGGCAATCACCTGTAAACATTCCATTTCCCCGTCTGCAATTCCTCCGGTAGACTTACGCTGTACGTATGACCTGCTCTCAAAAATTCAACCACCGCAGCCAAACAAAAGAAATAAAAATTACGCGATTGCGAAAGTAGCCTCCACGAGAGCAGAATCAAGCAACCGGAAGCAGAGAGGACCCATCGGAAAACCTGCTCCCGATTACTACTCTTAACAGCTCCTCAACATTCAAACAAAGTAGCGAACAATTTCCGGCGCTGACTTAACTGTTAACGAACTGCAACGAGGCGGTGAAGTTAGGTTGCAAACGAAGCGAGTGATCGTCGTCGCCGTCTCCGCCGCCGAGGAGCAAGTGGCTCTGAACGGTGTCGAGGCGGCGTTGAGCTGAGGACTCTTCCATGGAGGTATACTATCTTAGTTTGTTTTCTTCTTTGTTTCTGCTTGGGGAACGGATTGCCCGTGAGAATTGCGGGGGAATGGGAGGGAGGGAAGAAGTGAAAATGGATTCGTTTGGGAGTTGCTGGTGGGATTTTATTATTGTTTGAATAATTCGGGGACTGGGAGAAGAGTTAGATAAATAAATGAAAAAAAAAAAGTGGAAAACGAGAGTTAGATGAGATGTGAAGGAGGCACGCTTTCCCGTGTACATGCGTTCCACGAATATGACGTTGGTTTTTTTAAAGATAAGGGTCAAATTTTCCCGGCATACCGGTCTCTTGACCGGGAGAGTTTAATTTTCATGTGTATGTATAGTAAACATTGAGGATAGAAGTAACAATTTAATTTGGTAAGTTCTTCATGAATAATATAGGAAAGTATTTAATGTATTTGACTAATGAAGTTTAAAAAATGACAAACAACGCTCAACTACACTAACATAAATTCATATTTCAAACAAAGTCTTATCTATATAAAATGTCTAAGAAGAACAATGATAAGAGTTATTTTACATCACACATACATAATCAATCTTCAGTATACGATAAATTTTTTTGCCTTTTCCATTGACTTTCGTGTATTCAATGATATAATGAAACAAACCATATGTTTATAGTGTATTTAAAAAGAAACAAACTAACTCACACAGTCATGGTTCCATTGACTTTATTGTATTCAATGATATAATGAAACAAAGCATGCAGATCTCCAGCTGCAAGTTCAACTAATGGAGCAACACATAAAAAGCTAAATCAAAGCGAAAAGAAGGCAAAAACTAAAAGCAGCATACCTAACATTTTTGGGGAAATCCACAACAATAAAAGTCATTGTATGAATACTTGATAATGATTTGAACACTTGTGATATATGAGTAGTCAAAGTTAATAAAAGTCATTGTAGCTCTTACTCAAGTTAGAAAGACTTTGATTTAATGGTAAGTAAACAATTATATGTAGTGCTTAAGAGGGAAGATGAGATCTTACATTGTTTATTAATATGCATCTTATTTTCATAAATTTTACATCATTAAAAATTTATGTGCTGAATAGAAACCCACCCAAGTTTGGATCCATTGTAAAATGTAAGTTATGAGGCAAACGAAAAGTCTCAAACAAGGTTGTCAACCCGCAAGTTGACCCGGACCCGGTGAAGCTAGTGGGTCAAGGGTTAATGGGTCACCCAGTTTATCCCGAAAATATGGAAAGAGTCATTATATTATACTTATCCTGATAAATTATATCAAATCTCATCTAACATATGAGTTATAACATATAATATTACACTAAAATAACATGTCGTACTTATATCCAACATATAGTGAAAATTCACACACAATTATATAACAACAATATTCAAATGTTCAACTTAGGATTCCAAAGATTGAGTTAGGTGAAAAGAAAATCGGAAAATAGGCGCATTTCGCATACCAAAGAAAAAAAATGACACAATTTGACCTATAACCCGATACCTTGTAGCGGTCGAATCGGCGGGTGTGTGCAGCCCGTTTTTCTCACCGGGTCAGAGTCAAAGTGGGTCGACCCGCGGGTTGACAACCTACTCTCAAGCATCCACATGCTTGAAAAATAAATCTATATTATCAAACATAAAATCATATCTTGCATCAGAAAAAAGAACAAAAAAGTAGTAATTCGATAATCAATATAGGAATCAATATGGACACAATATCTAACCAAGAGAAGAGGAAGCGAAAAAACACAAATTGTTGTGTATAGATTCTGCTCACGTTATTTCAAAGTGAAAAATATCATAAAAATTATTAACCAATAAAAGGGAACGGTTAAGGGGAAAATGCATCAATTTGAACCTAAAATGAGAGGAATTAATATCCTACACCATCATATATAATGATATATTATATCCTAGAACATCATAAACAAATCTATCTAAATGAAAAAGTATACTAAATTGAATCCAATGTAAAAGTAACGATGAAGATAGATATTATATCCACCTAAGAAATAATAAAGTAAACCATATTTCTTAGAGACCTCTCTCGATAGAACCACTCTATTATAAAACTCATTTCGTCAAACAATTGCATCATATAGAGTTTTAACTTAAATTTGAAGTGCTTATAATTAGCTATTTCAGCTCATGAATGAATGAATTATATCATTTGGTAAAAGAAAATAATTTATAAACTTGAGAGTTATTTCGTTTGTTGTTAAATCATTTGAACTAAAGTATGAAATTGCTTTAGAACCGTTATTTTATTCATTATTATTAAAATTACTATTTTTATTATAATGTCTAAGCATGTCTAGGCGAGCTAAGAGATAGACAAATGCCCAATGACCGTCGTACGCCTAACGTGCTGCTGAACCTCAATAATTATAGCAAACTTTGAGTGCATCTTATAAATTTGATCACTTCTATTTTGGTATAATTGATTACATCAATAAAGCGATCAATCAAAGAGTCTTTCTTTAAGATTTTGATAAGATGTCCCCCACTGCACAATTAGTATGACTAAATTGTACTAAGATAATCATGTATTGAATTTTGAATCGATAGCGCAAAAGATTGTACTAACTCAAGTGGAGTTTTAGCTACTCAGTACTTCATATTCGCATGTAGATAGCTATTTCGAAGAGTTCGAATATTGATTGAGTTTGTTGAACTTTACCTAACAAAACTATGATATCAAGCGCAATATATTATGCTTTTAGGAGAAATTGGGAGAATATGTTGGTGACATCAAACCTAACATGGATACCATTTAATTTAAGTGATAAGCAACATTTATGTTTAATAGATTAGACATGAAAAATATATTTAGCATTCTCATAAGTTGGTATGAAGAAGTGAATAATTAGGAATTGAAAGCTAGAAACAAAGTTGATTTAATAAATAACTGCAAATGATATTGTGAAAAAGAAAACAAATGTTTAGAGCATAGCTAGGCATGAGAGTGTTACATTAAACTCTCTAAGAAAAAGCAATTAACCATAATAGCTAGCATGGATATTGAAATAGTTAACTATGATGAATACTATATACTGGTGTTAATACTTGGACCTTAGCTTGAACATTGCATCATGTTGATAAAAATTATTACATTAATTACATTATTGAAATAAGGGGTCGTATGGAAATTTTGATTATTTTTTTAGATTGTTAAAATAAATATATTTTTCATAATACAATACATATGTTTTTATTTTTGTTCATACACAATCGTGAATTATTTGCTTGATTTGACTAAACTATCATTCAAATTGAATGATTAAACAATTTCGAATTTTAGCATAGAATGTCGAGATCATTGGTATCAGTGTTTGTCATTTTTATTTATCTTGAAATGTATGGTACCAGTGTTCTTATATCGTCATTGAACACTTCATTCAACACTTCAATTCAATGCGCAATATTCCAACCAATGATATTTGTGATGAGATTTTAAGATTATCCTTCATTTATAAGTTAGAAAAAATTATAAATTAATTATTAAAATATGAAAATAGAAGTATCAAACTCCACAAAATACTTACAGGAGACTTAGCGGGCTAACTAACTGTGATAGAAAAGTACTTTGTTTTTCATAATTTTAACTTTCTCTATGTTTTGTATTAATAAAATACAACAAATGTGTTTAGTCTAATTGGTTACAATTCTTGTCTTTGGTGGAAAGGGTCATGGTTCAAATCCTAGCATTGATATCTTTTTATATAAAATAAAAAAAATGATTGTGTAGACGAAAATACCCTTCCTCTTTCACTCTCGTTGTAGGAAATTTGAAATGGAGCAAATTAAACTCTTTAAAATCTATCTACTATACTTATAATACGCCGAAGGGGAAAACAGCTTCCCCATTTCAAATTTCCTGCAACGAGAGTGAAAGTAGGAAGGACATTTTGGTCTTCACAATAACTTTTTTTTGTTCATTAAAAAGACACATACTGGGATTTGAACCATGACCATTTTATAGAAAAGCAAAGATCATAACCAATCATACTAAGTAGATTTGTTGTATCTTTTTAAATTAAAAACATATAATAGCCGGGAGGAAAAAAATCTTCCCCTATTTCAAATTCCCTGCTCCAGGAGCGTTTGTAGGAAGGGTAGAATAAGGAGTGTCAATTTTTTTCTCTTTCCTCTGTGGAATGGGCCAACTTACCGTACACATGCGGATTTAAACGGGTCCAAGAGTGTCAATTTTTTTCTTTAAGCTCTTTTATTTCTCCGTGGTGATAAAATATATATGAAAAGGCAAAAATAATACTCCTTTTTATTGTTAAAAATAAAAAAGACACGTACTGGGATTCGAACCATGACCATTTTATAGAAAAGCAAGGATCATAACCAATCACACTAAGTAGATTTGTTGTATCTTTTTAAATTAAAAACATATAATAGCCGAGAGGAAAAAACTCTTCCCCTATTTCAAATTCCCTGCTCCAGTAGCGTTTGTAGGAAGGGATAATAGGGAGTGTCAATTTTTTTCTCTTTCCTCTGTGGAACGGGCCAACTTACCGTACACATGCGGATTTAAACGGGACCAAGAGTGTCAATTTTTTTCTTTAAACCCTTTTATTTCTCCGTGGTGATAAAATATATATGAAAAGGCAAAAATAATAATCCTTTTTATTGTTAAAAATAAAAAATTTAACAATAAACTAATGAATGATATCTAATGGCTAACCGCTAACCATAAAATAAAAAGTTGAATAGGTCTGACCTACACGGGATTTGTCCATCAAGTAAAACAAATGAACATCATTGGTTTGCCATTCTAAAACAAGTTATTTTTTCTAGCATAATATATATTTTGCTATTATTTTATATCTTAGTGGCTAAAATATAATGTATTTTAAAGTTATTCAATGGTTCAACCTTGACCAACCCAATTAGTCCAATTTTTATCATTTCAAATATATATTATATAATTATTTGATATCATAATGATCAAATTATAGTGTATTTTATAGGGAATCGTTTGATATTTGTTAGTAAAAAACTAAACAGAAAGATCTATTTGGTTATTTTAAACATTAAAACGATCCTAAACATTTTCAGTTCCTTTTGAATTTCTATGGTTTTATTCCCGAATAAGTGATGTGCAAATGGCGAATTGCAGTCATCTCTTTTCTTTCACTATTTTTTATTTTCAAATAGAAAGTTTAAAATTAAAGAATAATTAGGATTTGGCATGGGTCGGTCAAACAGGCTGAATTTCAAGTTTTGGCCCGTTTATTTTATGCATTGCAAATTTATTAGCATGTTGATGGAAATGTCTTGGAAAAAAGACATATAAGTTGTACCTTTGCAGAAATGTCCTCAAATGTTTGAATGCTTTGCGAATCAGGTTCCGTGACTTTTGTGATGGTGTATGTGCTTGACGATTGCTCGATGTTGTAACTACTTAATTTGAGAGTAATTCTTTGATTTTTCCTATGAGTTGTGATACCAGTTCTGGTGGTTGCAGCATGTTGTCGTTGTTGGCCTGTAAAAGTTGTTCCGTCATGATGCTAAATACCTTTCTTTCTTTTTTAACAAATTGTGTAGTAGTGCTATTAAACAGACCACCCATGAACGCTACGCTTATTATGGTCTGTTCTTTCCGGTGGTGAGAAATTGTGAATTGAGAATCATATTCGCCTACCGCACTGTGTCTGGCTGGTGGCTGCTTACTGTGCTCTCTAGAGTTATGAAACAGACTACCCATGAACGTTACCCTTAAGAGTCCATAACTTTGCGAAAACCCAAATTTAGGCAATCAAAGGTGGTGGATGTGTGATGATTTTTTATGGCTTAATTGTTTGTGAATTGGATATCTGATCTTTGTATGATTAGAGGGGATGTTTGCTTAATAGAATAATCCATTTTAATTCATGTTTATTTTTAACATGAACTTTAGTAACTCAAAACCTTCGAGACACATATCACATACTGCATTGTATCATTTTGCCTGGGTGCTTGCTGTGTTGTCAAACTTCTTTGTTGTTGCTGCATTTACACTAACAGGGGAGTTAAGAACCCATGAATCTTTCCGTTTGACACAAATAGGAGGACTTGCTTCTAAACCGTGCACTAAAGATGATTGGAGGAAACATCTCTGTTGCAGTTGATATACTGGAGACCAGAACAAAAGCAACGTATAACATCAAAACCAACCATCTGAACTATTAGCATTGTTGCTTTACTCTTTTTTCGTGGTTGAGTCTCCTTCAAAATATTTAGTTTGATTTTAGAAAATTTTGCTTCTGCAGTCCTGTCTTGCCACCAACGCGTTCAGTAGATGGAGATGGCAGAGGCGAAGGCTATTTTTGTGTTGTTGTTGCTGGTTTAGGGATCGGTTTGTGAAGAAGAGGGAGAAGAGAGGGGGAAAGGGAAATGCAGGAGAGGGGGGATAACTCTTTTCTCCGACAAAATTGGAGTTAAGAAAGGAATTATGATCAGTAAGGATATGGTTATCTTACATAACAGTCTCTATTCTGTTTGAATTGAGCTTGGGAGGCAGTGATAAGGACGAGCTGCAACCAATTCATAGTGAGAAGAGAGCTATGAACTGTGATCATGTCTTATTTCAAGTTAGAAGGTAGTTTCAGTATAAGGATTATTTAATTTGACAAGTTGTTTCGTCCATGATTCTTAGTAGTTTCATTGCCATTCTAGCCATTGTTTAGTCTGTAATTTTTTAGAATTGATGTGCGAGTAATGACTTTCACTTAGCTTCAACTATTATATGTGTATTTATTGGCATGTGATAGAATTCTCTTTTCCTTTTCTTTGAATTCAGTTTCATAGTCTAATTGTATCATTTGTACGTAGGCAAATCATGCTCGAGATGACAACTCGCTTATATGGCTGGTGCAAGGAATGAAGCCATCATTAGAATTCATACCAACAACGGGGAGGGATGCCCAGGACTAATTCAATGATGATTGATGATGGTATAATAAAAACTGCAGTCTGCATCAGCACCAATTTCTAGGCCTAAGTAAAGTTATTCAACCCAGAACTCTGCTTAGCGCTAAAAATTGCCCTCACCCAACCTTGATCCTGTCACACTTCTGAAGAGTCAAGATATATGACTAATCCTCTCCGTTCGTATTTTCTTATTGACTCTTTCTGACCCTTTAGGTTTGGGCGGGTCGGGAAGAATCGGATTAGTGGGTCGATCCTAATCAAGTGGAATCCCAATCCCTTCACTCTCACTTGCTTTCTCTCCCATTCCACAAGTGGGTGACATATAGTAATCCGGCCAACGGGCCGGGTAATAAGCTAGTGTATTATAAGTAGTCTAGACTAGAAGGGTCAAATTTTCCCAGCATACCGGCTAGCGTGGGGTTTTTCCATAAATAATGTAATTTAAAATAGTTTGGCTCAGAAAATATTTTCAATCTTCTATTGTCCTAAAAAATAAATTGGGTTTCAACCAGGAAAAAAAAATTTGGGTGCCGCGCAGCTATGTAAGGAATGGCAAATTTATTCATACCTATGGATTTTTTTTTCAATCTAATTGAGTTGGGTATGAAATCTAAACAAATAGTAATTGGGTAAAATTTGATGGGTTTGTATCCATACCCATTTATTTGGGTTGGGTTAGGTTGGGTTTTTTATTCATGGATTTGGGTTTGTATCTAGAGGTGGAAATCGGTATCCCAATACTAAATACCGAAATTCCAAATACCAAATTACACCTTAAAATCAATCACAATCCCTAAATAACTTCGGTATCCTGATCTCAATCCCTAAATATTTTGGTATCCCAATCGGTATTATGAAATACGAAATTAATTACCTTTATAATTAATAATTAAATTTATAATTTAGATTTGAATGTTTAATATAGAACAAAGAGACTAAGCAAAGACTTTTGAGTTTGGCTAGAGCTAGGATATGGATAAGGAGAATGGAGGAGAGGTGACATCTCAAGTTTTTGTCATTGGTAATCTTTAATTTGACGAATTGGAGGCTGAGAGAAGACTAATACTAGTGTTTGCTTTTTGGTGTTATTAAAATAACAACAGATTGGTGGTTGAGCTTTCCTTCCATTGGTCTCGGGTGAAGTCTCTGGCGGATCTTTCCTTCTTTGGCGAAGTATGAATTCGTCCATGCTGTATACCCGAAAGTGTTGAAAGACGAAGAGCCTGATACGATGCATCAGTATCATTCAAAGCATCTTTGCGTAAACGAAAACCTCGTGCAGTAGTGAATGAGAGAGTCTAGTTGAGAGGATAAAATACACACTAGCTTATATTTCGTATTGTTCGGTATTGTATTTACCAATCCCAATCTCGTAATCCCTAATACCGAATAATATATAACTTCAATAATCATAATAATATTCCAACCTATTGGAGTTAGTGTTATGGGTTGTAAACGGTTAGTCGAATATCAGTTTTAACTAATAACCGAACCGATAACAACTGATAATAGTTAACTGATAATCGCTAATTTCTTAGTGGTTCGGTTTTGGTTAGTTGTATTTTGCTTAGTGGTTAACTGATAACCACCTACTAGTATAACCATATAGTTATGGTCTTTGGCTAAGGGAAAAAGTCCAAAGATTCAAAACCAACCAAAGTGCAATTTTGGACATCCCAATTTACATTTATTGCAAACAACCCTCCATCCAAAGTCTTAAATGTGTTTAAAAATCAGAATTCAGAAATCATCCTCTCTGACACCCCTTTGCAATCGACAGAGCGAACATTGCACCATAGTAGTCTTTGTTTCTTTGATGTTTGTGAATGATGACGATCTTAGTTCTTGTGTTTGATGTTTTGGTAGTTAGTATTCACTAATTAGATGTAGATGTTTGATTATTTTTAATTTTAAGTGTTGGAATTTGGATTATCAACATGATGGATATGTATTGATGTTATTTCTTATCATAATAGCATTTTCTACCCCTCTATTATGACAAATTAACAAACGTACCCCTCTACTAAATTTTTGCATAAACGTGCACTTCTACTATTAAAACGTAACAAATATAATCTTCTGTCTAATTATCTGTTAAATGGTTGTTACATGGGTTGAAATGACTTAATTGCCCCTCATTTAATGCTAATTTAGTTTTAGTTATTCGGTCCAAATAAATTAAAATTAAAACAAACCTTAAAAAATCCATGCCACCCAACCAGAAATCATTTGTCTCGCAGCTAAAAGGGCGGCGCTCAATTCTTCCATGCCGCACAGCCGTCGTCGGACTGGTCGATGATGCCTTTGAAGAATTCAGGGGTGACGATGTAGGCCACCTGAACGTCGTTTTTGTTTTGCATGATCTGCTTTGGCAGCCTGCGCCGCAGTGGTCGGCGGTACTTCCATATAGCCACATTTGCTGCACACGTCGGATGCGAAACCAAAGTTATGAGCCACAACGACGGAGGCCAGAGCTCCAACGATAAAAACAAAGAAGAATTTCAGAGTGATGGTAAGAGTGAACGAGTTTGAGAGAGATAATTGTGGGAAGGATCAACTGACTTAATTTCATTAACGTAATTGTAAGCTAATATACAGGGGCTTTACAACAGAAAGTTATCCCACTCTCCTTAGAAGTAGGAGACGAGTAGTAGTGGGGAAAAATAAAAAATATTTATTTACAAAATATCCTTAATAAAGAGTGGATGGAGGCATTTAGCAGGGTGAGTTTGGGGAATTCTCTAGGGGGTCGTTTGGATGGGCCAATTACCCAACGAGTCAATTTGACAAAAAGACTCATTTGAGAAATGATTCATATTGACCCTGAGATATTCTGCTGAGATTGCCTCGTTTGGTTAAGTTTCTGTAATGTAGGCAATTCTTCTTTGTCTTATTTGGAGAGAAATTGAAACTACCAAATTGCCCTTCTTTTTTATTATTTTATTCTTTTCTTCTCATTAGTCGTGGCCCATCTCCACCAAAAAACCCCCCAACTATTATCATTCCCATTTTGTCTCTCTCTCCCCCATTCCACTAAACAGAACAATCCCTAAAGTGGGAGATTGAAGAAAAGAGATAGAAGAAACCATAGAAGTGCTGGTACCAGCTTTTCCATTGTCGATCTCCACCTTGCTGGCCGCTGGGTCCTGCAAGAAGCTATCTTTTCTGTAATGGCCGCCGGCTTCTTCATCGATGATTTGACGGACGAAGGGGTATACTGCGAGTGTGGATTGGAAGCTGTAGTGAGAACTTCCAGAACTTCCGACAACCCTAATCGCAAATTCTGGTCTTGCTCTCTTTACCACTCAAAGGTAACCTGTTTACAACTCATATAGTGTTGTTATAGAATTTCTTGAACGCAAGGAGCTTGAGAATGTGGAGTTTTCCTTGGCCATTTGGGTGTTCAAATCAATAGTTCTTATATGTTTCATATTTCGTATTTTAATATTTAGATTGATTTCTTTACAGAGTAAGGTCGGGTGTGACTTCTTTGCTTGGTGTGATTTGCGAGCTATGCAAAACAGGGAACAAAGGCTCCTGGATTTTATTGTCAATTTGCAAAGCAGAGTCTGTGAACTAGAAGAAGAGAATAAGCGGCTTGCTCAGTTGGTTGCTGTCACTCCACCAGCTCCAGCTCTTGCTTGTGAGCAGTGTAATGATTTCGCCACAAAGGATCTTCAAGTGGTGAAACAAAGATTGCTTGCAGTGGAGAGACAACTCAGTAGAGTGGTGATTAGCTAAATCAGTACTTGTTTATGGCAATCTTGTGTAGTTGTGGTAGTTCGGTTAGCGACAATTGTGTGACTTGTGATCTTTGATATGGTCACCTAAGCTGGAGAAGCTGGTTTTTGTATAGGTGATCCTGTAACTTGTATTTTGACTGTTCCAGTAGCAGTTATGTTGTACTTGCAAAACCTGTATTGTCCAGGAACAATGTCTCAGGAAAGCAAATGAAAATTGTAAAAAGAAACGATGTTCTAGCTGTTGTAATAACCTATCAAAAGACCAGAGAGCTCTTTTATACTACAAACCATTTATGGCATAAACAATGTTGGTAAGAATTGTCTGTATGACCATTTATGGCAGAAACAATGTTTGTAAGACCATTTATATATGACAGAAACTAAGTAGTTAGAGGTAAAAGTATAAGCTTCAATATAACATTACATTCATCATAGATCAGAGGTTCCCAATGTGCACTTTACAATCAAGTTCTCACAAGCTGTCTTGCAATTACTATATGGTACTTACATGAGACAGCTTCATCCTACAGCTTGGTACATCATGCGAACTTTACAAAAAAACAGCCTGATTATGGATTTACCTCCATCGAAGTTTACGATCCTAGTAAGCTAACCATATAACTTCACAAAATACAGGTTGTCCTACATTTGCATAGACTGTCATTGAGTGTACTTCACAATGACAGACAAAAAAAAAGGCCTCTTTGCAAACTGGACAACTACCTAATAGCTTACAACCTAGTGGACTTACTATACAACTACATACATATTGGAAACACACCCTCATTCATCCTTGAGTAGATTAAGAACAAGGGTCAGCCTGTCCTCTTCCTTCTCCAGCTCATAGAAGCACTTCAAGTCATCTGAATTGTTAGAAAACTTCCTCACAGCAATGATAATTTGAGCTCTAGTTAGTCCTTCCATTTTTTCCAAGTTCTTCAGCAATTCCTTACGCATAATGTTGTAGTCCTCGCTCTGCCCCAAAGCCCTTGCAATGGTGTCCACAGACTCTCTAATGAGGGGCCTAAGTCCACCCAATTCTATCGCGATACCTAGTTCGATCCTCTTTTAATGGTCGGACATCAATATGAGTTCCATCTAGAGCTCCAAGACATTTCTAACGCAACATTGAAACAAGACTTTCAGGGGTTGATTGACAGAAACAAAATAAAAGATGGAATTTATTGGAGAAAGAAATCAGGGGTTGACCTTGAAATGTTTCCACCTACTATTGGTACAATTGTCGGGAATGGGAAGCGGCTTCTTCATAAGTAAGTTGTTGAGCCTAATAACAGCCCGCAGTACGCGGTGAATTGTTCGAGATATTGTCTCTCCCGAACGACGTAAATTCAGGCGTAAGGTTCTATTTTTCTCGTTCTGTGAAATAGTTCGAAGAAAGATATAAACCATCTCGTCTATATCTACATTCCTAGTTCTTTTCAGCCCACCTTCACTAGCAAGAAGTTCACAAAACTTTCTGAATAAGCTACGATTCATCCTGACTTGGTCGAAAGTATCAATATCAGTCATTTTAGTTGCATTCCTAAGGTGCCTTTGTCTATCATAGTGTCTCTGCAAGTAGGTGTCCACTGGTTGCCTACTAAGTCGTGGATTCATGTAATGTTTTTGTACTAAGTCAGCTAGTTTGATACCTAAACTAACATAAATCATGAGAAGGTTGGAGAACGAGCAAATTGCTGCAACCACCTGGCGTCTACGGGCTGGAGCTAAACTTGATAGTCGAGACATCCTTTATAAAATAGTTAAAAAATACATTATCAGTGGATAAAACATGTACAACACACCAATTCCAGAAACCCATGTCGGTTATAGAAGCAAAAAGACGGAAACAGTTCTGTTCAGCCTGAAGTGTAAGCAGGCTAGACAGTGACCATAACGAGCATTAGAAGCAAAGCAAGAAGTATAAATAGTCGAGACATCCTTTCAAACGGTTAAAATGCATAATTAGTGGATAAATTAGGGAGATTCATTCTCATAAACTAAATTAATTACACAAGAAAAAATAATCAAAGAGACAGCTTGTTTCAACTTGTCTCTTAAAAAACATGACCATTATTAGCAGAAAAACAAGAATCAACACGTTAAACCCAAACAGAGATGGGAAAACAATACACACAAAGAGGGTTAATACTTAACAAAACAAATTAACCATGGAGATCCTGAACTCTCCATTAAATCTCAGCCATTAATTTATTATATATGTATCTCAAAGGTTCATTTTGCTTTAAGTACTATCAAAAACACTAACTTGACACTTCGCTAATGGAAAGGGAAAAGAGAAAGGGAGTAATATTCTGGTCCAACAGACAGAAAACAAACTATGATTTATTGGTGGATTAATTAGAAACACCCAATTAGGTTGGACTTTTGTCATTCAATGGGAAGGAACAAGGGTAGAGTTCGCAAATTACAGATTGTGAGAAAAGAGAGAAGGCACCAAAAGATTCACACTGACCGCATCTAAATCCCCAGGTAGCTAGACAAATAGAGTATTCAAAGTAGTTCATCAAAAAATTTAGGGTTAATACGAGGGTTTTTTATTTGTAACAAGAATAAATTGGAGAAGGGTCTTCCATAATCACTGTACCTGGATCAATCGTTGACAAGGAGAATCGCTGCACCTCGTCCTTGAAACGATCCTGAAGCTGCCGAAAGTTCACCGATTGATGATTGTCGCTGTAGACCTTCAGTCGCTAGCTTCTTCTTCCTTCAAAGGAGCAAGATACGATAGATAGGTTAAAAATGACAACAAAGAGAGAGGAAAACAGTTGAAGATAAAGAAGGGCACTTATGGGTTTACAATTAAAAGCCAGGGACAAAAGGGGAACAAAAAAGCTAATAACGAGACAATCTCAAATACCTCCCCCACCACCAGGTAATTACAAATGCCTCATAATGGATCAAAGCAAATTTCCCCAAACCCAATTGCTCCATCCAACTTTTTGGCATCCAAATGAGTTAATTAGGTTCAATTGCCTCATTTTGAGACAATTGTATACAATTGATCCATCCAAAAGATCCATCCAAACAACCCCTAGGGAATTTGTTTTGTAGGGAGACGGGAGTTGAGATTGAAGACTGACTGGGTCATTTTGGGGTTGCTCTGCCTCTGAATACGTTTGGGTAGAAGGGGGTTGATCGCTGGCGGAGACTTCAGGGGAGTCGGGTCTAATGGTTTCTCTTTGGGTGGCGGGATTTGTTTAGGGTTTGTTTTAATTTTAATCGATTTGGGGAAAAAATAATTAAAACTAAATTAGCATAAATTAGGTGCAATTAAGTCATTTCTCAGCCCATTGACAGTCGTTTAACAGATAATTAGACATAAATATTATATTTGTGACATTTTAATAGTAGAAGTGTATATTTGTGCAAAAATTTAGTAGAGGGTACTTTTGTTAATTTGCGATAATAGAGGGGTAGAAAATGCTATTAACTTTTAGTATTTTGTGCAATAATGTAGAGGAATAGTTAAATTATTTTACAAGTGGTTAGGATTAAATGACATTTGTGCAATGACACATGTTATACTTAATTGGATGATGATTTGTGTATTAAAGGTGATTATTGCTTTGCTTTATTACATTTCGTGAAAGAAAATAGAAGTTATTGATTTCATATTTGGTTTGGTTAGGTATATTCTTACTTGTTGGAACGTATGTTAGTCGTTATTGGTTAACCGCTAAACTAACCACTAGCCGAACCGATAGGAAATGGTTAACCGATAAGGTTTATCGGTTCAGTTATCGGTATGAATTTTTTACTAATTGGTTAACCGCTAACCGCCATATCGGTTAGTGTTTAACCGACACCGAATCGATTAGCACCCCTAGTTAGTGTCAATTCTGTTACGCGAATTTCATATGACTGTTAAAGTTAATTGTTGACCTAATGATTGTCAACCTTTGCCTGACCATTGATGAAGTGATGCTTATGTGTCACCCATGTCAGCGCCACTCAAAAAAATTAAAAATAATAAAAACCACCCTCAACCCCGGCTCATCCTTCGACTTCTCCTTCTTCTCCTTTGTTGCCATTGTACTCCCTTCTATGGCCCCTTGCAAAATACCCAAACCCTCCCTCCTACACAAACTCCACCCTAACACTCCGATATTTTAGATTTGAGTTCGCCCATAATAAAAGATCAATTCGTTTGACAGTTATGTACAAAGGATTGCGACCGTGAATTAGAATAATAATAATAATATTTATTATTATATCTATTAGTAATAATAATCATTATTATAACTAGTATTATTAATTAAAAAATACTTGCACAACTCGGCCAAAAGGGCCGAGCGGCCCCAAATTTCCAAAACTCTTCAATTTGTTCCCCCAGCAGCAAACTTGTCTACCACCAAAATAAACCCCCGCCACCCCATTCTTTTACCTCAGCGCGAGCGAGAAGGAGAAGGAGAAGAGGGAGCGCCACCCCCCCCCGGCCGCCTCCCTGTTTCCCGACCCCGACCCCATCCCTTTCGTGTTCCTAGGTAAGGATCACAAATCTTTTCGTGATTCTAAACTCGATTCATCGATACTCTAATACAAAACTCATATTTCTGTACTATAGCGTTTGCGGTAACGTTAGATGGTTCGAACATCGATCGACGAGGAGATCAATGTCCCAAGCCATCCGATCTAGTCCTAGGCTCGTTTGGAGGTAAGGGAACTCGACCCCTTCGGGTTAGATTGATAGATTTAGTGATTTTTTCGTGAGAGTGCAATTCTGGATTTTAGCGACGGTTTTTACACACTTTTAGTGATGACAGATTTTGGGTATCCACTAAAGCAACAAGAAATTTCTAGAATACAGGTGGTTTTTTCCCAAGACGAAATTAATTATAAAAAGGGTCGGTTCATGAAAAGAGTATTTCTATAATTTTTTTAAAAGGAGGTTAAGTGATGTTCAGGGATGGTACTTTGAGGAGAGAGTGTTCTGGTAGATAAAAAGGATTTTACATCGAGAAAGGTCGTCTAAGAAAATGAAATTCTTATTAATAGGTTTCCGGAGGTAATTCGACTAAGGATGGATTTCTTCAAGTAAGGAATCGATAAGTCATCTTTACGAGGTGAGTGTAAAGGGGGTAATATCTCAATTGTATGTCTTTTACTTTATGCTTTTATTTTAAGCAATGCTAGTTAATTTCAGTTATGCGTGATTATGTGTGTGAGGCATCCCACCGCCTACTTAAGGTGGAGGCACATGTTTTGATATGTATGAGAACATATGTTTCTAATGTATAGATGATGTTAAGTAATAAATCCCCAGGCGGTTGGGCCACTACTGGACGCGGTAGACGGTCGAATCACTGCTGAACGACGATACGTAACGCAACAGTTGATCGAGGATTTGGGTCACTACTGGATGGTGATAGGTAACGCAATAGTTGATCGGGCATGGGCTGGACGATGATACATAACGCAAACCATTGCCTTAAGGGTAGGGACACCGGACGGTGATACGTAACATGGTGGACCCTAGTTTTAGGTGTATAAGTTAAGATAGAAGTATAGAGCTTCCATGAGATTTAAGGAGTAAGGTATTAAGGATGAAAACGAGAACGACTTTCATGTAAGATAGGAATTTCTAATAATGTGTTAGTAAGGTTTTGCTTAGGGCAAAAGCCTTAGGAAGTAACGACGAGGCTTACCCACTTCTCACTCACCAGGTGTAGAGAGGGAAAGAGGACGTACCCATCAAGAGGAGGTTACCCGAGTAGAGCAACCACGACAAACTTGAAGATGTCAGAAGGATGAGGGTAACGAGATGGGACCTTTTATCATATATGTCTCTATTTAATGTCCTTATGACTGTACTAGGAAACTCAAGTAATGTATTTTGTTTTTTGTTGCTTTGGATTGAGGTCACACAAGTTTTTAGGGCATTTCACTTGAGAATCTTAAACATTATCATTGATGATTTTCGGTTTTGACTTGTAAACATGGGTTGGGTTGCTCCGAAGTAACTGGTTTTTGGTTTGAGTTATAAATTTGGTTTTTCAAAAGGATCGAGTTGTTTAATTTTGGTATCTGAGCCGACATTCCTCTATTTCTTGGTCTCTAAGGAATATTGGAGTGACGATCTGGGTTTTCAAAAGATTCAGTTTTAAAGGAAAAGAGGAATTTCAAGAAAAAGGGTTGGCCAACCGATTTGAAAAGGTTTATAGAGTCCCCAGTATACTCAAGCATAATAAGACAAATAAATATGATTCTAATAAAGGTATTACTTACTTGCAGAACAAGTAACCATAGGTGTTAAAATATAACCCGACCCAACTAACCCGCCCGACCAACCCTACCCGCAACCCGACCGCAACCCGAATTGACTAAAATTCAATGACCCACAACCCGATTAACCCGTAACCCAAATAACCCGCATCACGATTAACCCAAACTTGATTGACCCGCAACCCGATTAAACCCATAACCCGATTGATCCGAACTCGAATGGCCCGAACCCGACTAAGCCGTAACACGCCCGA